ATATACTTGTAAAAATTAAGCGGTCTTTTCTAATCGATGTAATCTATGCGACTTAAAGGTGTTAACTGACTATTAAATTGGTATGGGACTGCGGCTACGGTCCAGTCCTTCCGATTTTGCTTGTAAACTGCGGTTAATGTCCAAAAATCGAATGTGTCAATATTGTTCGTCGGCGTGGGGTAGAAAGTCTAGGATTGTAGACCGAAGGCAGCTCGGTTATCGCAAACGATAATGTCCACTGTGTACCCAGCAGCATTGTGGGCGCAGAGACGGCGAATTGCGTGTAAATCATTTTGTAGCGGCAACGGACTTGCGTTACACCTGCCGCACTCTCTCCTCCCTCGCTCTTTTGAGCCTGATGCCGAGGCAGTCGGAAAGATGGGAGGCGGGATAGGGGGAAGTGGCTGACAATGATAAACGCACCGTCTACGCGTGCCGCACACGTCCGCCCCACGCATGTTGGGCCACTTTTGGCACAAACAAGGGGGCAGCTCAGATTCCAATCAAGTGGGAGTGTCGCAGAGGTTGCATTCAGAAAGAGCCATTATATCTTAACTCTCCGTCCTGAGAGAAGCAAGTTACAGTGCGTGACCGATCTCATGAAATGTTGGCTGAAATTCTGAAATACTTTTTCGAGTAGGAAGGATTACTTAAGTGGTATTGTAAGATTGATTCTCATACGGCATAATCCTATAGTATTTCGGACTCGCCAGGATGTCGGCTTTTAAATGCACTTCTTTTCGACCTGAAGAGACCGCACTCGGTAAAAAATGACTACTTAAGTAGCATGTGTTTTTCACATTGATTTTCGATGCTCTTATAAATTGTAATATATATTATAGAAAACATGCACAAAAGTATGCCTTCTTGCAATCTTTTGATAGAGAATCAAGTCATGTTTGTATTTTATACCCTAAGAAAGTGTATACTCAGGTTCGAAAACGTTTCCCGATCCCTGAATAATTTTAGGCCTGAACAGCGTAGCATTAGCGCTTAGTGATTTTAGTCCGCCCAAGGAAAATCATATATTCTTATATGTTTTTAAGAAGATATCATAAAGAGTTCATGCATTTTGCAATGGATGCGGACTATGTTGTACATATCGCGAGAAGCAGTGGTAAACAGGCAGGTACGATGCTGTAGGAGTGGACATTGCACGGTCTTAAAAATGTTATTATTAGAAACATTTTTAAAAACTAATTATACCCCCTCTTCGAGCATAGACTATGAAACGGCGTGATTCTCTATCAAAAGAATGAAAGAAAGCATACCTTTGTGCATGTTTTCTATAAAATATATTTTAATTTATAAGAGCATCGAAAATCAATGTGAAAAACACATGCTACTTCAGTAGTCATTTTTCACCGAGTGCGGTCTCTTCAGGTCGAAAAGAAGTGCATTTAAAAGCCAACATCCTGGCGAGTCCGAAATACTATAGGATTATGCCGTATGAGAATCAATCTTACAGTACCACTTAAGTAATTCTCCCTACTCGAAAACGTATTTCAGAATTTCAGCCAACATTTCATGAGATCGGTCACGCACTGTATTCCCTCAGTTGGGAGCCTTCCATGCCACGGATTTTAGCACACCGTGATAGTTTAAAAGCGCGTCGGAGTGTTTATAGTAAGGAATATGCGCTGAGTGCCATGGGGACAGAGTCCCATTAGTTGAACTCACACTTTTTTTCCTCTCCCAAGTACCAGCCTGCCGCCCGGGTCAATCAGCCACCTGATGCAGGGATTGGCCGAAAGTGGCTGGCGCAGCGGGAACCTGCATCTAAGTGTGCCACCACACCCCCCCCCCCCCAGTGAGTGACATTTGCTATGAGTGTACAATCAGAATAACGCGTGCTGTGTCCTAATCCTGTTTGCTTTTTGGTTCAGCTCATCTGCCGCGGGCTCGTTAGAGCAGCATACATGGTAGACCAGCATGGGGAGTAAGAATAGATTTTTATGTCTCACGGGGTAGGGGTGGCCAAACGATCTTCACTTTTCGGCCCTCGGCAGTAGTCCTTTTCAGTCACAAAATGCCCGACTCTTCTAACAGCCCTCGGATATGCAAATTTAAAAGGATTACGCTAATAGGTG